TCGACAAAACACTTTTTGTCCACACCCAGCGGAAAGTTTGTCTCCATTCTAAAGTGGATCGTCTATTTTCAAAAAAACGGAGTTACCTTATTTTTGAAAAGCCTTAATTTACACGCAAAAACGCACACAAGCCAAAACATCTATTTTTCGCTCTCATTCCGTCGCAAATCTAAAAAACTGGGTAAGAGACATTCTTTATTTCAAATATTAATTTATACGATACAAATCTGTCATCAGTAAAGAGACACCGAGCTAAATGTTTCAAGGAAATGACACTCACAATAATCAGTCGACGGCATTTAACTATATTGCTGCTTCCATAGAAAAAGTCGCAATATAGTTGACATTAACAACCATTTATTACAATTTGAATCAATGATAAAAAGAAAAGGACAGCAACCAAATTATATTAGATCTGGCAAATCTAAGGACTTAGTGTATAAGAGCTAGAGAAGCAAAGTATATTTCAGCTAAGAAAATAACCTCAATGTAAAATTAAATTTCCATTAAAACGTGACATGGGAAAGTCTTTGAAGTATCTTCGTAAGGAGTTGCTCTAATGTTTTGGTGTTGCTTAGTTACAGATAGAAGAAAACAAAAAAAAAGATGACCGCAAAAGGAAAAGGAAGAAATAGGCAGATCGAGAAAAACAAAAGATGACAGAAGAAAAGAAGTAGAAGAATCATATCCAAGGGGATTTCACAAGCTGATTTAGATCTTAAACTCTACGGCTATGTTTAATTTCGTATTGTATATACTGTAGAATCAGGTGCCCAAGAACAGGGTAGTCTTTGAGGCGATTAGCGGCACGATTTTTGGTACCACAACGATTTAGGGGTGGATAACGGAAATTCCGTTTGGGAAGCGAAACTACACATTACTCAATTCCTCTATAAATATTTACAATGAAGTCCCGCCCTTCGCAGTGGGTGTTAAGGATTCAGTTTAACGAAAAACTGTGTGCCGGTAAATCAGTCCACTGCAATTCCAGAAACGCGTCGTAGGGTACACGCGTTTCCCGAACTATAAAAGCCTTTTCTCCTTCGGAATTGTCAGACAGATGGTTGGTGTAGTTAGTTGCTTGTGAAAAAATATATTTTGACAAGAAATCAATCTTTTCTCTTTTCAAATTTTGAGGCTTCTTTTGACCACTTTTGGAAAGCAATTTTTGCGAGGTGAACAACTCAGATACATCCCGACAAATTTGTCTAAACTAAGTCAGGTTTGAAACCAGAAAGATGAAAATTTTAAGACTAAGAGATCCGGGGATGAGAGGGTAAGGAAAAGAATGATCACAGCTTGTTTTCAGGAAATCCCGTTTAAAACTGCCGCAACAAGTTTCGCGGCGGTATTTATCACTGTTAAGATGTCAGCCATAGTTTTTTTAAGCAAGACATTGCACTCATTATCCCAGAAACGAGTTTCCACATTAGCACTGTTTAGACAGTGAGTGAGGGAGAAGAAGGGGCCGACAAAAGAAGCGTTGGGAGAACAACATCGCTGAATGGACAGGGTTAAAGTTTTGCGACGCCGTAAGAGAAGCTGAAAACAAAATAAAATGGAGGGAGAAGGTTGCAACGTCCAGGGTGCCCCAACGGTCATTGACTACGGGATAGGTGCAGTGCAGTGCAGACAGTGAGTCGAACCAACAATCTAACAGCAAACAAACTTCTCTTTTTCTTTAACAGTTATTTAAAAAAGGGGAAAATCGTATTTTGCACTTAAGGGAAGAAACTAAAAGAGTGCGATTGGAAAACTATCCTAACCTCTTTTTTTTTTTTTAGAATACGAAATTCCCTACTTGTGATCAGTCGCATACTCATGTTCAGATTTGAAAGTTGCAAATGCGGGTACACTGAACAAACATTATCGGTTGCTGAATGTTTCGTGTTTTATTGCGAAAACGTTTTTCGTTTGTTAGCTTGGTCATCTTTTTCAAACAGCTCAAAATTTGGTGTAAAAAGTTGACAAAGACGACTACCAAGCGATAAATCAGTTGTTGACGGAGAAGATGCAAATTCTGAGTCTTTGCGTTGTTGTCTTGGCGTGTGTGTGGATAGACTACCAGAAATTCTCTGTTTTCCTTAGGGATAGTAGAGTGAGCAAAATACGCAAGCGCGGTGAAAATCGTCACTCGAAAGCAATGAAATTTAGGACTAAAATAATTTCAGAACGTTTCCCGTTTCTGCAACGTCCAGGACTCCTAAATTCTTCTAATGTTGAAATTCAAAACAACAAATATTGCCTCAGTTTTCCTCTAAAATAAAAGATTTCCTGTTGCCTTAAACATATTTTCTTTGCCTATATTTCCTCACTGTTATTTCCCTTTTCACTTTACATTGTTAGCCAAACCCTTACAAATTTCTTGAGTATATTGTAATATCACGTTATATTGTGTTAAGCCACTGTAATTTATTATGAAATATGGCAAAAATATATAGACTTGTCTGGTGGTGACAAGGGTGACAAGAAGATTCAGTGGAACAGGGGAAGAGTGAGAGTATGTATGTACATCTTAGGAATTCCACCTCCATCTCCCCACCCCCTCCCCCCTTAAAACTTGTGTGCAGGCAAATCCCCAGACGCCTGTTTGTCTAAAGTCCAAGTAACACGTTACAAAACTAGTAATAACTGACGGTTAGGGAATGCAGGCCAGATTGGTTGAAGGTCAAAACGCTCTTGCTCAAAGGCTTTAGTATAAGTTTCATGTGAAGGAAGGACAAAACATACCTGATTAGTTTACAAGTGACAGAAGGACCAAACATGCATGGTCAGATTTCATTCATTCTCAGTGGAAGTTAAAACAAACGCAGGCTAATAGCAGCATGGAGATTAGGACTGTGGGCTCCTCTGGTTGCCTGCAATAATTTTAAAACAAGTTATCACTTTCAGGTCACCCTAATTTATTTCTCTTTTTTCTCTCTTATGGCATTATACACTGTACTTTCAAATCATTAAGACTTAGCACACCTTTCGGGAAATGCTATACAGGACCATCTTGAACTTTAAGGCTGAATATCTTTGGAGGTATATCTGTGCCATGAAATTAAAATTTATATGCAAGATAGTATGGGTAAAAAAATATTCAACTTGAAACATTAAAGAGTGGAAACCCAGTTTTTCGAACCACCTTAGAAAGTGAAATTCCTTGAATAATAACTGGGAGTTTTTAAAAAATTAGGGGTATATAACATAGTATTTGACTAGTAAAGGGGAGTTGCATTTGTTTTCAATATCAATTATCAGAAATTTCAAAAAAATGAGGGTTCAAGACTGAAATCAGGATTCTACTGTATAAATTTTTGTCACTACACTGGCAGAAAGAAATTTTAGGTTGGCAGTTTTGCTAGAGCAAGAAATTATTCTACGTAAACAACTACATCACCAGAATGATAAATAAACACTTTGTTTGATGAATTCTTGTTTGATGAATTATGTTCTTTTTGCTCCAAGGGAAAGGAAGAGGAGAGCTCAGGTGTGGAGGGGGGGTACTTGGGTTAATTTTTGCTGGGTATGTGCCGCTGGCCTCTCAGAGCCCCTCCCCCATTATAGTCTATTCTGTGGCCAATTACAGGCCCCGTCTCAGTCACTTTTGGGCAAATGTGTAATTTTCCCGATCCAAAACTTAGTCACTTTCTACTTATGTGTTTGTGTGAAATTGAATGAAGAACACTTAACTTTTCACCAACAGTACAAACATTCTGGTACGTTGATTTGCTAACCATAAATATGATTGTAGTAACCCTATTGAAAATGCTGACCCCATTATAGTCAAACCAGTAGTGAAAATGTGACCCCATCCAGCGGTACATCCCCATTAGCCTCTTATAAGGAAGTACCCCCCACTGCTAGGGGGAGGAGAGAACGTGGGAAATTGGAAGCCAGGAGTGTCACATATTGCTATGGGTGTTTACAGGTGTTACAGACTGGTATTTTAAGACCCTTATAGCACAAGCCACTCTCCATCAAACAACGTTCAGCTGCATTTTCCTGCCCAAATCTCAACCATAGTACATCCCCCATCGGGCCATAGCAGCACATAACCTCCACAGCCCCACCCTCCCCCACCCCCCTCACCTATTCCCATTAAAGAATAACAAGCGGTTTGTTATTTAGCCTTAGCACACAACCGACACAGGCATTCGCTCATTTTAAGTGAAACCTACATGTAAAGAACCACAGAAACTTTGGGCCCCGGGGGGGGGGTTACTCCCATACATTACCTATACGCGTATGTGCCGCCCAACGGGGTCGTGATTTTGAAGCTCCTGGTTTAGAACGGGGTATCCATTTCAGAGACATTTTCTAGAACAGGGTTTAAAAAATTGAGGATCACGGCTTTATCTTCTGCTTAAAATTGTTGCTGATTATGAAGAATCATTTATTTGATGCATAAGTCGAACAAATTAAGAAATATCTTTATAGAAAAAAAACAGGGCTATTTCAATTTACAAACTTTCTAGAACGGAGTATAAAAAATTGGCCCATTTCTAGAACGGGGTATCAATTTTAGGTGAAATTTTTTTTAGAACAGGGTACCAATTTGGAGTCCCGGGCGGCACATACCCACCCAAAAAATAACCAAGTGCCTTTGGAGTCCCAGGCGACACATACCCACCCAAAAAATAACCAAGTGCCCCCGGGCTTTGGGCACAATTCTCACTGTCAGAACAAAGACTATCCCCATCCAGGCCCCATCAAATTCCTCTTCCTCTGAGCTGCGCCCGCAGGTCTGGGCAAAGGTTATCTCCAAGGCATTGGGCAAATAGCGCAGATCGATAGATTATCTTCTCCAAGGCTTTTAAAGCTTACCTGTATTAAATTTCGAGCTGAAAATTCTGTGGAGGTCTTTTGGAGGCCAGAAAAGGCGGAATGTACGATGTGTTCAGCATAGATCAGCGGTTTAACTACCCTTCATGTAACTTGTTAGTATTCATAACATCCGGGACCGCAAGGATTGTTTCCCCATCCTCCTTTGAGGGTGGTGCGTTTTATTGCTCGTTTGGCGGCCATATTTAGTGGTTCAGAAGTGACGAGGAAACTTTGAACCCCCCTCTAAAACAACTTCCAAAACAATCACTTCCGTCCACAACAAATGAGTGAAAACTTACTTCCTGTTGAGCCGAGGAAAAAACAGTAAGTTTAGGTCGACTTGCCATGGACCTTGGAGAAAATTCCACTTTGCACGCCGATACAGCGCTGGAAAATGGAACAACGTGCGCCACGGCTACTGCCTTAGCGCAAGTGCTGGACTCGCAAGCTATCTCTAGTACCTCTCTCGCTACCTTCTCTGTCACCTCTGTTCCCGGCTCGGCAGGTTTGGCTGTTTTAACTCCATCTCTTGATGGTACAACAACTGTTACGTCTCTGCCAGGCTTTACGCTGTCTAGCTTTGATTCGGTGGACGTGAAGAATGTCAGTGAAGCCAGTGAATTAGCTGTTGCAACTGTAGGGGAAGATGGCAGGTTTGTTCCCAAGGATTAAGTACAGTACGTATATATATGATTGAGCTTATGTAAAAGTCGGTAAGAGAGAAATTCAGTGTTAACTTGTCTTATGTTTTCAGTAATTGAAAATTGCATGTAGGTATATTTTGACTGAGACTTTTAATATCCATAAATCTTGCATTTTAAACAAGTGATAAACTATATTCAGATGTACATCAGTAAACTTGCACCTCAGACATAAGCAGCATGCTGTAAGCTTTGGTTGTAGTTGATATATTAAACTTTATGATGCTGGTATCGACCGTGCATAGTCCTCCATGAATCAGAAGATTTGATCAATCTTTATACAGTCTCACAGTCACTTTGACTCATGGCTGAAACTTAGAGTCTGCGGCAAGCTGGTAAAGACATGCCAGCACTGGGAACAACTACAAGTCTTAGCCCATTCCTGGGATACCAACCTCTGCAAAGATTTTCTCTTTTGCACTACCCCAACTTCCACGGCTTTTAGGTAGAACAGAGTTCCTATTTTTATATACGGATGTAAATTTGATAAGATTACTGTGTTTAAATAAAGTTTTGCTTCCTTCCTTCCTTCCCCCTTGACAAGTAACTCACCAGACCCAGACACCCACTCATGACCCTGACAGAGCCCTTTTTTCATGAACATTAAATCTTGTCAACTAGACTTAGAGTTTTTTGGCCAAAGTCACAAAAAGTTGACAAAAATAGCAAAGGCACATGAAAAATTCTGCTGCCAAAAACCATGACATGACTCTGAGAAACATAATAATTTTTGTGGGATCTGAGATTGAAATATCCTTTGCGTAGCAGCATTTTATTCTTGTTTTTAATCCATGCAGCCTCCATTTTGCATCAGCCACTCACAATGCAGTTACCAGTTATCATGCACCACAAGGAAGCCAGTCTTTGCAAACATCTGAAGCTGATTTTGTATCAGACCTTAGTCAAGGTGAGTTATGACCATCACTCTGAAGTGTAGGCACATCCCTAGTTGGACTGCCGACTCCAAGGCAGTATGCTCATTGACCAGTAGCAGATCTAGAGGACAGGCCCTGGGACCCAGTATAACCTTCTTTTATGGTCTGAGGTGTCAGTCATCTCTTTGCAACCCTCCCCTTCCCCCATTGGGGGGAGGGAGGGGTGGGTACAGAGATGGCTGATGTTTCAGACTACAGTTGAACCTTTGGGTGTGCGAATGTTTTTGCTTGCAAAAACGCCGTGTTGAAACACCTGAAGAGATGAGGAAATGGGATGAGTCAAAAAGGCGGGGGTTTGTGGAGAGAGAAGAGAAAACATTTTTTTCTCCCCTCCCCTTCCTCCTTTCCTTTTTTTGCCCTAGCACCTACCCCTAAGGGTTACTATTTTTACTCTCCCTAATCTTCCTCCATCATAAAATCAAAGATGGTGGCTACAACAATACAAACATAAACAAGCAGCTTTCGCCCACCAAAAATACGCCTGCACTGCAGGCTATTATAGAGGTTGGCCACTCCATAAAGATTCATCATAAAGTCATGAAATAAACATGTGACAGAAGTGGCATTTACTGGTCCACAATCAGTCGTTACCTTCTATTGCGGACTATTTGTATTTTCCTTCATTGTTAGTGTATCAGGCACTTGATGATGGTGTCATAGAGTTGGCAATAAAAGGAGCACTCTCATCGATTTAAAATACTTTTCTACACTTATTTCAGGACTTGGAACACTGGCTGCTAATTAATAGAGGTTCAACTGTACTTAACTCTTATTTTAGACATTAAAACTGAGACCCACGGGACTGAGGTGCTGAGATCCTTTTTTTCCACCAGAGGACACACCCATCGTACCTCAAGGTCCATATCCTCCCTGTGCACATTTAGAGGGATTTAGGAGGGAAGAGTGGGTTATGATCATCAGGAATTTTGAAGAAGAAATTACCTGTATACCTGTTGTTCTTCAAAATCATCCTCTAATTTATGATTTCAGTGGAAATTCTGAGTGGAGGAGAGAGTGAAGGAGGTTCTTTGGAGGAAACTGTCTGCCAAGAAACTCAAACACCCCAAGCTGTCTCAAACTCTCATGGTGATGTGGAGAAGTCAGTGGTAAGAAAAAACTGAAACTTGAAAACTTTATTTTTACTCGAGGGTCTGGAGCTTATTAGGCTCCTAGCTTAAGTAGCTAATGAGTCGAGGTTAAAAACAAGCAAAGAAGAAATGAAACTGAATTTAAACTATTTACATCATAATGCGATATTGTTGACAGATAATGATTCTAAAAGGTACAATATTAATGATAGTCTAACAGTTACATAAAGAGCAGTTACATGCGTCAAATTCTTTCTGATGCGTGTTACAAATTTTTTAAGGGTCGGAGAAGTTCTTAGTTCATCATGTAGAGAGTTCCAGATTTTTGGTCCATAGTACCTAAAGGTGTTTAGTCCATACTTGCTGTGGTGATAACTCTGGGTTGTACAAGAATCAATTCACCCCGTAAATTACGTGATTTACTTCTAAGCGTCAGCAGATTGCGAAGTGGAGTAGGTGTTATTCCATGAATGACTTTATAGATAAGAATACACATGTCCTGGACTCTCCTGTCGTGCAGAGAAGGCATGTTTGCTGTTTCCAGTAGAGTAGCATAAGTATTAGCATTGTCATTAAAAATTAATCGTAGACCCCGCTTGTTCAGTTTTTCAAGTTTGTCTGATGCCGTTTTTCCACAGTGCATCCACACTGTGGAACAATAGGTGAAATGAGGTAAAATGTAAGCCTTATATAGCGTGAGTTTAGTTTGGATGCTTAACAACTTTCTAAAGCGACTGATGACTGCGATCTGCTTGCTTGTCTTTTTGCATATTGAAGCTACATGGTTGTTGAAATTCAGCCATTCGTCTATGTGCACCCCCAGTAATTTGCAGGAGGTGGAGGGCTCTATCAATGTTCCATCGACCGAGAAATTGATTTTCTCTTCCTCTGTTTGGTTGTGTTTGGGATTGTAATGTTTTAGTTTTAACAATCATGCAAAATATTGATATTGGAATACTGAAATCTAAAATGCTTTACATGTACTTTTGCTTTAATCGTACTGACTTGTATCCTGGGGGAGGAACCCATTCTGCCAGAAGAACGACGGGGATGCTTTTCAGACAATTAGAAGACCATATTATTAGAAGTCGGATTATTAGGAAACCAATCTTTGCAAGGATTGAGTAGTTAACTTAAGATAACTACAAACAAGTGTTAAGCTACTCTTTTGGCTGTCACTTTTAGAAAAAGAAAGGTGGTTGGCCAAAGGGAAAGAAGAGACGAAAAACATTCCGTGACAGCAATGCACCCAAAGCTCCCCTGACTGGCTATGTGAAGTTTCTCACTGAACAGCGAGAGAAGGTTAGGGCCGAAAACCCCGAGTTGAGTTTTCCTGAAGTAACAAAGTTACTTGGTGCCCAGTGGAGTAAGTTGTCTTCTGAAGAAAAGCAGGTTAGAACATGTTTTTGTCCTTCTTCTTGTTTCTTCAAGACTATAAACCTGTCAACTCCTTAAATAGTGGTAAAAGAAAATATTTGCCAAAAAAAATTCAAATATTCTTTTTTTAGTAAAATCCTAAGAAAAATTGTAATATGCAGAAGTTTTATTTGAATGGTAACACCACAGGATTTCGTCCACAGATATAAATTATAATCTTGCCATAATAATCTTGGTCTAGTATTGAAAGGTTAAGCTGGTACTTGTGTAAGCTGGCCAAAATTACATGTCAGTCTATGTGACCTCTAGGCTAAATCTTTGCACCTGGCAAAAGGCAATATGCACATGATCATGCTTGTGCTGTTGCTGTTTTTTTTTAGCAGGGAGGGGGTGTTCAAGTTTAACTTCTGGTTCGCTAGGAATAATAATCTTATTTCGCCCTTTCTGAAATTCAAACAAATGATTTTTAAACTACATGTATGCTCTTTCACCCGTAATGACAAAACTCCAACCTCTTGGACAAACCAGAGGGATTGCTTATACTTTGTTGCAAGGTGCATGGATACATTGACTTCTAACTCTAAGTTGTGTTATAATGACAGTTCAGTAGATAAGCAAATATCCCTGTATTATTCCAGGTTTACATATAACCTACAATCTCAGACAAAAATCTTGAATCACTTTGGAAAAATTTCGCTCCGTTACGTTCCCCCACCCCCTTTTGCGTTGCAGCGGGAAAGGGAAGTGCATAAGTGTTTCAAGGATTTTTAGCGAGGATTGTAGCCTTCACCAGCAGCTACTGACAATATTTTTTTACTTTTTCTCTGAAGAGATATTTAGATGAAGCAGACAAGGACAAAGAGAGATACATGTTGGAGTTGGAAGCTTATCAAAAAACGGATACTTACAGAAGCTTTTTGAAGAAGCAAGCAGAAAGAAAGAGAAAAAGTTAGCTACTCTTGTTCCATTATTCTGGTCTTATCATAATGAGAAGTGGTAGCCTGCGTAGCATGACGGTTTTGGTTTTTTCGTGGCTACGCCGCTCCTGCGCCCGGCTCGACAAAACCGCCATGCTACGCAGGCTAGAGAAGTGGAAGACGACTGCTAGGCGAAGACCGAGTAGATTCTTATTGAGTGCTCATCAATTGTCATTTCTTTGCTTTTTTCAGATTTAGAGAACCCCAATGGATTCGACTCTATTTCAAACGGAATCGAGGTAACAACAGCAATTCTGTCTGTGAATGAAGAAATGGCGTCCACGGCACGTAATGTCATTTTTAAGAAAAGAATAACTCTTGTCTTTGACCCGCTTTTGTGTTACTCCTTATATCCGAGCCTACTAAAGAGTTTTATTTATATATGACTTCATGAAAACGAAACATTCAAAACCCACGCATCTCTTTACCGTGTCGTCTGTAAAAATAATGTAACTGACACTGAAATTAAATTGCACTAATTGAGTGTATACTGAAAATGATGATTGTATAAGTGAGCTGTTTGTGGTCTCATGTAGCTCTGTGCAGAGGACGATCTCTATTGCAAGCCGTGTAATCAGTACTTCAACAACCTTCACAACAAGAGAGAGCACATTCTTGGCCGAAAGCATAAGCAAACGGTATCAGGAAAGTTAAACGAAAGCGAAGAAGAGGAAGATTTACCAGGATTTAACGCTCCCGTCTTCACTGAAGAGTTTCTAAAACACAATGAAAGTAAGTGCTGTTTCCTGTTACCCATGACCAACCTCTCTTTGTGTTGGAAAAAGCCTACTAAATCACTTCACATTCTACCTAAAAAGAAGAACACTGACAGTCTGTTTATGTGAGGTGAGTCAGCCCAGTCTAAGCGAAGTCTGACTGGATAAGAATGCGGAGCGTAGTGTAAACGCACTTGAGCAAAGCACACTAGCTTAAAGCGTCAGATTCGATGAGAACCATAGTCTCATTTCGCGTTTAAAATTATCGCTGAATACAAACACCAAGTACAGAATGATACAGGTCAGCCTCGACCTAAAAATATATTATTCACAAATGCCAGGAGGAAGAAACCTGATCTTTAGATAGAGGCTAACCCTGTAAAAATTCATCTTGATGCCTTTTATTGAAGCGGTAATGACACAACTCGAAACAGATGTATTAAAGTTTTTATGAACACTAATGAGAACCAGGGAAAAGCATTAAACCTGGTGAGTTGATATAGGAGCGTATCAGTGAGAATTGTGAAGGCAGCGCTTAAGGTCCAAGTATGAATAAACGAAGACTAAGCAGATCATCTGCTTCTGAGTGTACACGAGTGGAAGAGAGGACGTGAGTTTCGCATTTGATGAAGGGCTCATTCAAATCCCGTCATCTTTTGAAACTCTCGCGATTAAATAAGTTGATTTCCCCCTTTGCATTTCAGTGCGTGAAGAAGAACTAAGACAACTCCGCAAAGCGGCAACAGAATTTGAGGAACAAAATGCAGTCAGTTCCAAACACGTGGAGAACTTAAAACAAGCAATAGCAAAAATCGAAATGGAAACAAACCAACAAAGAAACGCGAACATGGTTTTACATAATCACTTAAGTAATCTCCGAGCTGCGCTTGTTCAAGCTTTTGCGAACTTGGTCTTGCCTGGCTCAAACGAGGTACCAACGTTAGATACTATAGACTCTTACATGGCAAGACTGTATTCAGTCATTCTGGATTCTCCTCAAGAGAACGAGGGACTCATCACCAATGTGCGAGAGATTGTGTCTCGTCTTGGCGGCTTTCCAAAGTAAGTTGTGTGAGATACATAATTTGGTGTATAGTTGAATACTCAAATAGTGCCGACGTCAGAGTTTCAGAACCTTTAAGCTTCTTGATTTTTGTTGTTAGCCTGCGCAGCTGGTGGGATTCTCGGCAGGTAGCTGTAATTCCCACGGGTAGCGAATCCGAGCTTAAAATTATAAATATCTATCATCACCCACAATACGTTTGGCATTGCTGATTCAAGCACTATGTAGAACGCGTGTCGCCTACGAACCCCCACTAAATGGCGCAAAATGTCCCCCCATAGCTCAAGGTCCACGGAATCAAACCTGTAATGTATGGAAGGGGGGTATGAGGTCTAGCGACCTTTCCTCTGCCCTGCACATCGCGAAGTTCTTAATGTAGGAGTTTGCTAAAGAACTCGGAAATTGTGCACCTAAAGCGACACATTAGAGTTTAAAACGACTTTTCGAGCGGTTTCAGTTCTTGACGTATACTGTTATTTATTTCTGTCATTTTTTTTTCCTTTTGCAGCGATGCGGACAAAGGTTTGAGTTTATCGGAATAGAGACGAAAACCTTCGCATGTTTTCATCAAGGAGGGGTTGTGCTCCCCCAGCGAAACTTAGGGAGCCTTTCTCTGGAAACACGACCAGGAAATGATAAATAATACCGCGGCCATCAATGGTGCTGCATGGTGCTGTCTGTGTTTGAAGGTTGTGCCATTCCCCTTGTTACTCGCGGGGGAAAGTGAAGAAAAACTGAAGTTATTATTTGTCTCAAAAACAAACTTAGTTGTTTTTGATTATGGTCGTTGGATTGTGTCGACTGTGATAACGGTACAAGTTGGAAACGCTGCACTTAGACTTGTCAGATGCTTTCCACAGTTCTACCAGTGCAAAAGTCGTCTCTCTTTATACTGATTTCATGGATCCTTTGACGCAGTTGTGTAAATTTATTATTTAAATTTTCAATATCGTCTTGTTTCTCATGCTGTAGGGAACAGCAACGAAAAACAAACGCTGTAAAGCCTTTGTAAGAAAGCATGCGGGCATGCGAAAGTAGTAATAACTACAGGATATTAATCTCCGGTACCCAAGTGCCAGGTTTCATAGTTCTACTTCAGACAAAACGACTGCTTGGGAAGCTAAGGGGAGGTCAAGTCTTTTCATTGACTGAGTATTTCCAAGAATTATTCCCCTAATCGCGAATGTCAAGGAATCAGTGGTTACCCGACCGCACTGCATCCCGGGAATAAATATCCTCGTGTTTGGTTCCGAAAGAATTCTTGACTCAGTAGGAAAGCTTGTGCGTCGTTTGTTGAAACGATAGATGCGTTGTAACATTAATTGGAGAGACGAGGACTTTATTCTTAGTTCAAACTTTACTTAGAGTCTCGCTAAACTAACAAAAGTAAGTTACAAGACAAAAAGAAAGTTGATAAAGATTTTCAGACGGCTAAGAGACAAAATAAAACTTCGTTTCTGACCGTCCTTTGTTGTTTGTCTGCACTAAAAACTTTTTGGATTGTAATTCCATTCAAAACTTGGGAGTTATGTATTCTCCTCAAATGTTACAAACTTTGAAAAGCACAGCTTTTATCTTTTCAGTTATTCTGAGTTGGCTCGCCGTCCTATCGTCCGTATAGTTATAACTGAGGAAAAAACCCTCCTCCAGCATATGGTACTTTCAGGAGCCCATCAAATTTGATGGGATCCGGGTACTTTACTACTCATGCGCACCTTCACAAAATCCCAGCAAACTTAACCAGCAAACTAGAGGCTTCCACCAGCGTAACGCTAAGCTTGGAGGCCTGAGCTAAGAAGTGGTTTTCATGCAATCTCGGGAGACACAAATAACCACGGTGAAATGAACAAATGCTGGTGGACAAACAAAGCGAGCTAATGAGCGATCTTTTGTTTACCGTCCACCAGCATGGCGGCGATGACGTAACGTGAAAACCACCACTGAGGGACCGGAACTGGTTAAAGCAAGCAAGCTGTGCCTCCTTTCAGGCCCTACTTTTCCCACCTCGTCTTCCGTGTACTTTCTCGTATCCAACCTTTGCCCCACTAATTAAAGAAAGCATTCACAGGAAATCTCTACAATCTCGACTGAGCTCTGGATTTTTCCTCGCCACCATTATTTTCCGTACTTTTTTTCCTGGTAAGCCCAAGTCCCTCGCGGTCGACACCTCAGGAGGAAATGAACAGGAGGAAATATTTGCCGCTTCATTAGTGCGTTTCTAACCGACATTACAGGACATACAGAGTAGTTTGGAGCTTCGACTTTCTTGCAAGTAATTTCTGACCAAAATGGAATTCCGTGTAGGGAAAAACGTGGTAAGTTAATATGAATAGTTTATTTGCATAAGAGAGTCAATTAATTAGACCGTCATGCGTCGCTTGTTTGAACAGCGTGAATTCGCCGTAGATGGCGAGCATGATGTAGGATTCATTTTTAGTACCTTATCACCTAGCTATTGTATTAACATAAGTTTTTGAACCTTAAAATTTGGAGCATTTGTCAAGAATTGTGTCCTTATTTCACCTCTGAACGGTCTGAGGCATGTTAACCAGCGACTCTTGCTTTCCTCCCCAACATTTAAACTTCTCAAAATATTATTTCCGTCAGGAAATATACAAAAAAGATAAATAAACAAACTTTATTTGCCCTGAAAGATAAATCACCTGTAAAGCGGTCAACAAGCGGGGTGAGGGGGAGGGGGGGTTGTGAAGGGGGGTTCATTCAACACACTCAGTTGAGCAGTGCGGCTTAATTTTAATGTTCCATACTTGATCAATCATACTATTGGTTTCAGACAGTCGTTTCATAGAAGAAAATATCAAACGTCATTTTTTTTGTTACTCTCCGTATGATATATCCATAAAAGAACAGTTAGTGGTATGAACTGATAGTTGTCAACTGCTTTTAAATTGACTCTTTCAGCTCACGTTGAAGAATCTGGCATTTTATGCGTTGACCACACCGGACAAGAGAAGCGGTTTGAGCTGTCTTCAATCAGCTTGCATTTTAGGGGACGTCGAAGCCGTCAATGTAATCTTGAATTACAGTCCAGACAAACTTGACAGTGCTATAGCACTGAGTATCAAAACTAGCTACCTCGCCTCCCACTTCCCTGGCGAGCCTGTTGTTACTGTTTTGCGACAAAGTGCTCAAGAATCTCCACCTCACAAGCTTATCAGCCAACTTGTTGAAAACATTGTGAATATACATGACGCTTCCCTTCTTCACCTGGCTGCAAAAACAGGCAACGTCCAGCACCTTCAAAGGCTTCTTGATAATGGCGGTGATGTTGACTCAGCGTCACCGGAGACGGAAAATGGAGCCACGCCGCTGATGCTAGCGGCTAGGTTTAATGATGTGCACGTTGTGAAATTTCTTGCCGAAAGAGGTGCCTCTTTAGAGAAACACGATTATCAAGGTTACTTCCCTATTCATCATGCTGCATTCGGTGGCCAAGCGGGGAACATAGCACGCTTGATAGAGTACGGAGCCGATGTCAACGTGTTGAAAGAGAGAGAGCAATGGTGGTCAGTCAGTGATCAATTATCGCCTATTTTTTTGGCTGCCGAGTATGGTCACTCGGAGGCTGTTGATGTTTTGCTGAAGCACGGTGCTGATTCGAATAGTCCTAGTAGATATGGTGTCACACCTCTTCATATAGCTGCCACCAATGGCCATCTGGAAACCACCCAGCTGTTACTTAGAAATGGTGGAAATTTAAACAGCCGAGATATCGAGGACTTTTTGCCACTTCATCGTGCCGCTGAAATGGGGCATACAGACGTGGTGAAGTTCATTCTTCATAATGGTGGAAGTATAGCAACAAGGACTGGTGATGGGCAGACACTCCTTCATTTGGCCACTTGTCTGGAACTAGTGAGTTATCTTGTTCAGAACGGCGCTGATGTTAACGCTCGAGACCACAGGAGACTTACCCCATTGCAAGTCGCTGCGGAAAGAGGGCAAACTGACACTGTCAAGTATCTTTTGTCTCAAGGTGCAAACATCAACCTCCGGGATAGGTTCGGTTGCTCAGCTTTGTTTGACGCTTTGAAAGGGGGCCATACTGCCACTGCTGACGTTTTGATCAAAAGAGGCTGCGAATTGAAGCTTGTGAACGATGAATGCTGTGCGAAGAATCTTATCCCGCCATTGCTGTTAAAAGCAGCTTCAGAAGGTCGCACAGATCAGTTAAATCTTCTTTTCCACACCGGGATATCTGTGAATACAACAAGCATTTCTGGAGAAACCGCTTTAAGAGTCGCAGTTCGGCGTAGACACTGTTCTACAGTTGCGTTTTTGTTAGACCGAGGAGCTATCATCGATGAAGACGACACTCATGAAGATCTCCCCGATGATGATAAGGAAGAAAACTTCGACAGCTGCAATGACATCAAGCAGCATCTCCCCTTATGTTGGATAATGAAATTGGGCCAAAGTGGTGAATATTTGCCTGACTTTCTAACAGAAAGAGGAGCTTTTATTATTCAGTAAAAATAGTATTTGCTCTATAGATCTTCCCATGGTTCCCAATATTCAATACAACAAATGGTTATAATTCCACAAAAAGAACGTCCAAGCAAGTACTTTTTAACTGGCCAGTGGAAAGAATATTTCAGTTTGTACTGAAATAAGAATATACATTTAGGTTTAAACGCTTCGTTTCCTCGGTCGGGTCAGCTCAAAGCTGGATTAAGATCGCCTAGGGTTAGTGCGAAATTTGAATTCAGATATGGAAGCTTAAAAAGCAAATTCAGTTTAATTCTTTTTTCCTATAATTTGATGAGTGGATGCTCTAAAAAGAATAACGAAATTTATTCCAGAAAATGCTTTTCAACAAAAGAAAAAGAATCCCGGATTAAAAAAGCGCTATATAATCGGCCTTCGAACAACTGGACCCTGGGTTTTATCGCGTTTGACGTTAGGAGAACGCATCCTAACCTGTTGGGGGTACTGTGTCATAAAGGGGTAATATTTTTTCGTTGTGCGCGTTATTCGTGTCCGCTGCGCTTTGAGCAGTTGACGGACCGTTTTGAATTAATAAGTACACTTCGAGATCTGCAACCGATTTTCTGGACTAATAAACAATTCTCAAATATGAACTCAAAATTGCTATAATTTGTCTTTCGTCTAGGGAACCACTCCATAATTATCTGTACATTAAAACAGGTAGACACATATGAAAGATTGCTGTGAATGCCGAGTCAAACATGTAGTCAAGAAATCTGTAATCAACTGAATAACAACACAGGTTTTTTTTTCTCCTGCCCTTTTGATTTAAATTAAGACATACCGTGATCTTTTGTCTCTAGTGGTCTTAATGCGGCTATGGCAATCAGGTTTAAAATTTCATGGCAAAAATGGACTTATTTTGATATCAATCCAATAAATTGTTATGTGGCGATTTCCTTTTTGCAGTATTTTATGTTAGTTGTTATTGTTCTAATAAATGTACCTTGTAAAACGGAAAGTATAGAAATGCGTTATTGCTGCCGGAATTACCACAAATGGAGTCACGGCTGCAGCTCTGTGTAGGATCCCTACGAAAAAGGAGATGTAGCAACCCTAGAGAAAGTGTAGCGTAGGGCCGCACATGTAGAAGGCGACAACAAAAGAGAAGAGAATCCAGTGTCACGCAAATGATATGCGATCTCGGATGGCAGAGCCTCGCAGCGCGCCGCCTATCCCTCATGTACAAGATTGCCCAAGGCCTTTAATTGTAAAAGGCGTTGAAAGTCAGGGGGTGTTTACATGAGAAAACTCGCACCGGCGCGAGTTTCATACCGGGATGACTTTTTTATTTCGTATCGCGTTTACACTATGACTGGATCATTTCATATCTCTTTATTTGAAGGTACACTTCATGTTGAGATTCAAAATCACAAACATTACGCATGCGCTACCCGTTCCAGTCTACCAGCAGACCGATTTCACACCGAAATGTGTGCTTTACATGATGCCGTTGCGAGATTTCGTACCGGAGTGAAATTCTCGCCCCGGTGCAACAACCGGGGTGAGCTCACGCCGGGGTGACTCGCGCTGGCATGACATTTTCTGGTGGTATCACGTAAACAAATTTAGAATCATGAGATGGAACCGGAGTTAACTCACTCCGGCGCGAAAGCCACCCCGGTGTCATGTAAACAGCCCCTCATTCAGATCCTAGTCAGGAGTGTGCGTGCTACTAGACAATCTAAAGGTCAACACTACGTCAGGAATGTCCTAGTGCTCAAGAGCTGTTACAGAGCTTCATTCTTTCCTCGCACTGTCCTAGAGTCGAATCATCTGCCCCCTTACATTCGGGAAGCTTCTTCTCTTGACTGCTTTAAGTGCTCCCTTATGCGAGACTAAGACACTAACGATAAACGCTGACTGCTGACCGTTCCTTTTGCACATATATCCTGTAGCTATCCCGTGTGGGAGATCTGCATAGTATTAGATTTAGATTTAGATTTAGATTTAAACGCCTGGCGTGAAGTGAATGAACAACTTTTGGTCAGGTCATAAGTTAGCCTGTGAGGGAAGGGGCGGCTGTACATGATACACAGGCTAGTCATCACTAAGTTACCTTCAAGCCCAACACCAACTTAGCTACATACAGACGAACGCTTCTCCTAATCTGCACTGATTTCTTAACTGAAGTGAGGATAGAGAGAGCGGATATCGATACTGCTCTCTTGGTTGAGTTCAATGGAAGCCAGTGTAACACTAATTTTTTACTAAAGGTTTTGAGGCATCAGAGCATAACGATGCCTATATTCCAATATCCTTCGGACGGCAAAGGCAATTTGCATTAGCGTGAGACCTCGCGCGAGGGAGAAGTGAGGAGGGCTTTTCGCGCTTTTCGCGCCCTGAATCAACTTCCGGCTTTCCTTTCCCTTTCATTCACTCGGTCGGGACTGGGGTCAATTATTGCGACATGCGTAACGGGCTCCCAAGCTCCCACGCGTCAGCCAGAGTCAGCGGAAAACGAATTGTGCATCAGTGATCGACTCTATTTCGTCGGTTCTTCTTCCTTTTTAACATCAAATTAGTCCAAGTTATGGTGAAAGAAACAACGTTTTACGGTAAGTCATCTACATCTGCTTTCATTCATTCCTTTTAATTGAAAATTTGTTCCAAATCCTTTCTACAAAGCCAGATTGTTTGCTGGCCGGGTGTTACATGACAACCACATGTGCCGGGTTGAACATCGATCGACTGCTTTATTCCGATTTTGTAATTTCTTTCTCAGATATTCTCGATGTTTCGCCGAGTGCTACCCCGAGTGAATTAAAAAAGGCTTATCGCAAGCTTGCCTTGAAGTACCACCCAGACAAAAATCCGGACGCCGGAGACAAGGTATGTATGCTCTCAGTAGTTTTAAAAACCCTCGTCCTCAGTTTCGCTTTCGGCGTCCATAGAAAGTGAATTTCTCGGTAATCGCTGTGTTTTTTAAAGGAATTATGCCCCTCGGACTCTCTATCGCATTACAGGACACGAGTTCTGTATCTTACAGATAGTACTGTGGTCTTTGCTTGCGTAGATTATTTATAGAGATTGCATGCAAAGATAATTTTTTTGTGATGCAACTAAACGTTAGCAGGGAAGTCATTTTACTACCTTTTTGTTTAAGTTTATGTACACTGTAATCTTGCTATATTATCCTTCTAAATCTTCCTAATCCGTAGTACCAATGGTTGTAAATCCTTGAATTAAACAGTAATTCAGAAAATGCTAAAATACGTCTTACAGTGTGAATGCCTGGAATTATGGCATAGTTACGTAAATGAGTGGAATGATCAAGTTTCACGATAAACTGGAAGTAGTTCAAAAATTTTTACTGCAAAACTTTAGTCAGCATTTATTTCGGGTGCTTTGCCTGTTCCATATTTTCACTTTTCCTTTATAAATTATATGGTTAATGATAATGCAATAATAATAATATTCTGTGAGGATTTCTGGAAAAAATATTGTTGTCATATTCTGGGTTCTATTCGTATAACATTAACTCCCTAGGGATGAGCATCCTTAGCAGAATAGTAGTAGGGATCCGTTTTTAAAGAAACCAATAAAGAATGTGGTGGGTAGGAAAGGTTTTTTTTTTTTTCAAAGGGCTCTGGCAAAAAAGTGACCTGGTAGGAATCTGCTCAGCCACAGTGGGGGTTCAGAAAAAAATGGAAGTCCCTTCTTTTTTTGTGGGTTCCAAGTTTTGTACTTCTTGCATTTGTTTCATAGCTGGCGAAAATAAGTTCTCATGAAAGAAAGAAAAATGAACTTCCCTCAGTCACTATAAGTACAAGAACACAGAGCTACATCTGTTGGTGAAGTGTTAAATCTCTACATTTGCATAAAAGTTCAGCTATCTCATAACAAGCATCTCATGCAAGAAGTGCGTCAACTGGTCTTTTCAATGATATTAATAACATTATTAAACCTTGATTCATAGTTTAAGCAGATATCCCATGCTTATGAAGTCCTATCAGATGAGAGGAAACGACAAATTTATGATGAAGGAGGAGAGGAAGCTCTTAGTGGAGGAGGTGATATGGGGGGATTTCATTCGCCTATGGATATCTTCGACATGTTCTTTGGAACTGGGCATGGTCGGCATAGAGGGAGACAAGAAAGAAAGGGCAAGGATATGATTCACCAGCTCAAGGTAATGTTTAAACCCTTAATATGTGTACATCAATACACAATATTCTCCCAGTTTTCTTGAGATGCATTTCTAAATTATAAAGATTTCATGGTTAAATAATTTATTAACTATTTGAATCTTTATTAATCATTTCCTTTATTAATAATATAGTTTTTTATAGCTGTTATTAGATTAGAGAATGATATTAAAATAAAATAATTAATATCAATAATTATCAATATTAATAATTGTTATTGTTGTGCTCTATATTGTGGCAGGTTTCTCTTGAAGACTTGTACAATGGGACAACAAGGCAGTTGGCCCTGCAGAAAAATGTTATTTGTGCCAAGTGCGAGGGACGAGGAGGAAAGAAGGTGGGTGCTGTTAATCACTTTTTGGTTATTTTACTTTATTTTAATACTATTACCTTCCCCTGTAGAGAACAAAACAACTTGATAAAACGTTAGACATAACAAATGTAAGAAGGTTAGGTATGATTGTCTGGGCGAACGTAGTCCTGAATAGGACTGTTGTTGTTGACAGTGACTAATGTTTCGACAACATGTGCAGTAGTCATCTTCAGAATCAAAGTGATTTGTATCATGTCGGTTGATGGTATTAAACTCTGGTTATTGACCTGATTGGTCAGTTAAGTCACAATGTTATTTGTCGTCTGTAAGTTAAGCCGTGATGTCATTGGCTATGAAGACTCATAATAACAAATGTAGTGACCATAAAAAAAGAAGATTGATGATAGGGACACCACAATGGCTAACAGGCCTGTCACTAAGAGCCAGGGACTGGGGATTTCCCTGGCTTTCCTATGCATGACCCCCAGCTAATTTCATAGGAAACTAAGGGGAGGTAAAACCAAAGGAATATTTTAACTGTTCAATTCCCCACTTATTAATTCTTGCATTTACATGTACATTGCAACTTGATTTCTTAAGGTCGGAGCTGTACACTACTACGTGATAAGTTGCAGCAACTTGTCAGACTTAACACCGTGTGTGTACTGGAGAATTTCTGTGAAATCATTGTCTTCCCAACGGAATTTTGTCATGGCAATAAGTCACCCAAAATCAAATCAGATCGATAGGTTCAGTTTGTTGTGGTAGCAAATTCTGTTGCCAAGACAAAGGTTTTTACACATGAGGCAATTTGTTGTTGCAACGTGTCACACAACTTGTCACTTGACCTCTACCTAAAGAGTGATTTATCACTGTGATAAGTTGCAGCGACGTGTCGCTTAGTGTGTCCCAATCTTCAGTGACAGCCCTGGTTGAGGTCAATTACAACAAGCCCAAATATGAACTAAAACGGTATTTATAACTAATCAGAAGCACTACTTAGATCTGGGTAGTCTGGGGTTGTTCCTCAGATGTTGTTTGCATTGCAAAATGTCTGCTATTTTCTCAGGCTATGAACTATGATGTCAGTCAGCTTTTTTTCTGATGGTTATGTCACGTTACATCTACCTTTTTGTAATTTCCAGGGTTCTGTTGTAACATGCAATACCTGTCATGGTAGTGGGATGTATATCAGAATCCACCAGATTGGACCAGGAATGGTGCAGCAAATTCATACACAGTGTAGAGACTGCGGTGGCAGTGGGGAGCGAATACCAGGTAATATTACATTTTCTGGCTGCAGCTCTAGAGGCATGGCTGAGGTGGTTCAATTTTGTTTCTGGTTCAGATTTTATTTATAATTATTTTATTATTATTTTTTTGTTTTTAACTCAACATACATTACCATTCCCACAAACAAAGGCAAATAAAACAGAAACCGAGAACAAATTAAAGGGTCCATGCAAAAATGTCCCTGTGATATTTCACCAATTTTCAAACCTCACAAAACGTACAAAATTTTTACCTGTGACTTTTTTTGGTAAGGAAACATACTGTTAACACTTTCTCTATGATTTCCATTTTATTTACTAATTAGCAGGACTCACATGCAACTTAACAATGTGTTTCTTTTACCATGTATAGGGTGGGAGCTGGGGGGGGGGGGTCCCTTGGGGGGGGGGAAAGGGGGTTTGTTGTTGATGATTGCATAATGGATGGGTTTTTGCATATATAATTTGGAAATGACACCCAAACCAAGGTGAAATGTTTGCAGCAGTGTTTCTGTAGTGTAACTGTGTAACTTTGTAGCACTTTCCACAATTACAAAATTATTGTAAGGATTTTCTTGCATGGAGGACTTCATTAATAAAGTAATAAAAAGAAAAAAAAACAAAAAAACAAATAGCGAATTTACACACTTATATGGCAATATACTTACAAATATTAAACTACATTACAGCAGTGCTAATTCCATATATTACTGTACTTAGTATGATAACCTACCAGTAGTTAATAAAATTTTAACCTGAATAAAATTTTGACCTGAAACATTAATTTAGAAGGTACCATCAAACCAGGATGAGTTCATCCCTGTTGCTGTACCAGTGCATGAGTTCAATTCTAGTGAAAAATCTTGCAACAACATGTATCTATTTTCGCAGCATTATTCAAGTAAACTTCCGGTTGCTTAATATTATTTTTTAATTTTGCTTTGTATTCTTTAGAGAAAGATCGCTGCAAGAACTGTCAAGGCAGGAAAACAGTCAAAGAACGTAAAATTCTGGAAGTTCATATTGACAAGGGTATGAGAGACGGACAAAAAATAACATTTTCTGGTGAAGGTGATCAGGAACCTGGTATTGAACCTGGTGACATTATAATCATCCTTGATGAGAAAGAGCATCCATTGTACAAAAGAAATGATATGGATTTGCGCAGAAAAATGGTAATTATTCATAACGGCAATTCAGGTTAATCAAGGTTTTAACCTAAATCAATGGAAAGGTCCCATCACTTTTGACCTCCATTGTAGTCGAGATCTGGGTGTCCTGTTCTCTGGACTCCCAGCTTCTGAAGAAAAATGATATTTAAAGAAACACATCTCAGATGAACTACTTGATTGAGAGTTCAGTGGACAGCCATTATTATTAGTAGTTGTAATAAACACTATTATTATTATTACTATTATTAATCTATTATTAAAGTTAAATAATTATTAGCAGGGGAACTATACATGTACTTTTGAGTCGTGATTTAAAGGCCAAAATTAATGGTTATTATTTGTTTTCTATAGTTTTCACACCAGTGGTGGGCTTCTAATCAACCCTTTTTAGCAAGTTTCAAAACAAATCAAACAGAATTTATAAAATCTATTTTAAGTGAATGAAAGGGATTTTGGGGGTTATCTGTTCAGCATTATTCTTTGAGAATGAGCTATTTTATTTTGCATCCTTTCCTTGTTGATTATAGTAATTGTATTCTTGTAATAACATGGAACAATTTGGTTTAATGCCCATCATAATAGGCTGCGTATCTTTGTTGTTATTCCTTAACAGGAACTTGAACTGGTAGAAGCACTCTGTGGTTTTCAAAGAACAATAGACATGCTGGACCAAAGAAAACTAGTCATTACATCTCTTGCTGGAGATGTGATAAAACCAGGTGAGTTGGAAGATGTTTTGTAGGTTACATTAAATTTTGTTCTTATTCTAAACCAGTAATCAACCTACCGGTAGGTTACCACAGTTAGAACCCCAGCAAAAAGCTAACCAGAAACCATTGTACAAGCTGCTTAAGCCTGAAAATGTATTTTACCCACTGCAGATGTAATACTCCTGTTTATTTACAGCTAACATTAATCAAGAACAGTGTGAAAACCATCAAATGATCCTATTCACTCTTTGCCCAAACCACTTCACTTTCTTGAGTTCTAAGCCTTTCTTTTTTGCTTTTTGTTTTCTTTGTTTTGTGTCAATATGCTAATGCTGATGTAATGTTTTAAAAATACTTGTGATAGGTGACGTAAAGTGTGTCATGAATGAGGGAATGCCAAGATACAGAAGCCCATTTGAGAAAGGCAGACTAATTATCACATTTGAGGTATGTGTACCACACATTATGATGGTTACGATGATATGAAGCTTACAATACACAAGCAAATCAGATTATTGGCACCAAGTATAGGCAGTTAAACCACAGAAATAATATGGCTCATCGTTACTATAATAGTATTGCATTTAACTTGAATCACCTTAGAGTAGGTTCATCATTAAACAGTTGAAAACTGTTCTGTGAAATTTTACTTAACATTAATAATTATTACCTTAACATTATTGTTTATATACTAGCAAAAGAAAGAAAAAAGAGAAAAAAAGCTAATTTGTTTCCACTTTCAAACCAATTTTGTTTTTTTTTCTTTTTTTACTGAAGTAAAGTTGAAAACTAACCTACAGATTATGGTGCATGTAGAAGTTAGAATAGAATTAAAAGCAGAAAAAATCCTCGTGCATGTGTTGGTTTGAGTTTTTTATTATCTTCACAACTATCCAGCTTCTCTGATAAGCTATTCTTATTCTAAAGGTTAAATTTCCTCCTGATGGCTTCATCACACCAGCTTCCCTTTCTCAACTGGAGCAGCTCTTTCCGCCAAGGCAAGAAGTAATAGTTCCTGAAGATGCTGAAGAAGTCGACCTTGTTAAGTTAGATCCCGAAGAGGAATCCAGACGGCGCAGAAGTCAAGCGGTAAGAAACAAATTAGTTTTTATGTGAGAATCACGAATCAGTTACAGAGTTTGCACCTTAGTTGTGAATGCATTAGGAAGCAGGAGGGGGCACTCAAGGTACCTACATATACACTACTCCAATAAAAATCTATCAACTGACGAGCTGCAGCTCTCTTTGACTCTGGAACCAACTACCATTCAGGTTGTCAAAACTTCCCTCACTGTCCCAGTCAACACTCACTCAAGCGCTGTCCCACACAAGGGGATGGGAATGAGATGGACTCTGGGAAGGAGCTTTTCTTTGTGGAACTCAACATGGTGGTTATGCAGGTGTACATGTATAACCTGATTGATTCCGGGCACTTCCCCCCATCTTCATTTAGTTTTATTTTTTAACACTTTTGCTCTTTATCTTAGATATTTGTCAGGAAACCCCTGATAAACATGTACACCGTACCATGCAAAAGTATCGCTGGAAAGACATTGTTTATATAGCAGTTTAGATCACATTGCGTGCCTTAATCTGACCTTTTGATTGGAAAGGATTAGCAACTCAACAAGTCTTGAAATAATGGTGATGTAATGAAATAAGCCTTTACATACCATTGGCCAAATTGCTCATCAGGAGTTTTTTTCTTTCTAGGGAAATGCTTATGACGAGGATGAAGACTATGGTCACCCAAGGGCTGGAGTTCAGTGCCAGTCGCAATAACAGTGGTTCTTTCACTGTAATGACTGACTTGTCCACAGACATCTCTGTTTAATTTTTTCGCATTCGCTACTTTAGAAATGAGAAGTAAACTGGGCCAAGTTAAGAAAGGTCAAAGACTTCTGCAGCATGCAAAGAAAGTGGTGTCCAGTAGCCCAGGGCTAGTGAATTTTGTTATCAGGCTAGTGATTTTTGTTCTTAACTTGCCCAAGGGGTAAGTGCTGTTTTTTGGGGGGAAAATTCAAATTGCAGAAGGATTGTAATCAATCCTGCTAATCAAAAAGGGTTTTGGGGCTAGTTGAAATGACTTGTGGGCCAGTGCATGCTAGCTACAGCTTGCCCGAATGGTAGGCTGTAAAACTGGTTTTCTTTGCACCCTGTTCTTTGATTGTTACTAGGGACAGGGGAAAAAATGGCGCATCCCTAGCCTGCAATCAGGCGTATTTTGGAGCGCAATGCATGATTTGTTTTCAGGAATGACATTGTCCCGCCATCGTGGACATTAATACTACCAGAGAGTTAAGACGAGTCAAAAACTGATTTTAAGGGAAAGGTTGATAGGTTTAAAATAGGGGCGGGGGAGGGGAGGAAAAATGATGCCAGAAAAAATTGGGCGATGCATTTTGGTTCCAGTTCTCTTCTTGTTTCTAAAGTGGCAAATTGGTACACAGGGTGTTGATGGGATGGAGGAAATGAGTTAGGTCTTCTCCATCACCCCCGCCCTGCTCATGATGTGCACGTTATGAAGATGGCTGAGGACTGGTCACTCACAATTTTGTTTTGCTACAACTTAAACTATTAAAGCCTGTTAATTTCTTATTCTTTATGTGGAAATGGATTAATATCTCAAACTATACTTCCATCTGTGTACTGGTTAGAAATAAATACATTGCATTACTATGCAAAATATTTGCTTCAGAGATTTCACTTGAATGGTAGCACCATAGGATCTGGTTTACCAATTTTAAAGTTGCAGTGGCAATGCAGGGTAGGAATGAAGGATTAACAAACATATAAAAGGGCGGGGGGGATCGACTTCACTGCGGTGTAGTGAAATTACTTTAGCAAAACAGTTTGCTTCTGTGCCTTTTGCTAAATCATAATAAAGTGAACTTTTGCTGATCATGCATGGACTATTGCTACAGTGAACTAAACAAAAGAATTTATTTATTAGTTCAGCCAATAGACTGCAGTACTAATCCAGTCAGCTATACCTGGATAAGGATGCCACAAATTAATTTCATTCTCTCTATTCTTTTATGAATCATTTAAGTTTCAAATATCTAGCTGTAGGAGTATTTCACAGTATGTTCTTTAGTTATCCCAGTCCAGTTAGATATCTCGTACTTTTTTAATATTATTTTATAGAAACAACCAAGTGAACTGGTCATAACTCACTTAGGAAGATTATCTCCATGTAACAATGTTTAGCTCGTGATATCAAATAAATTTGTCTTACCTGCAAACAAAATAGTATTACTTGCGATCATTTTGCCATAACCGAAAGAAATCTCATGATTGTGACCATACAGCAGTTTTTGCCCGAAGCTATTCATATAGTATGCACAGCATTTTCAATAATTTTGACTAATTTCTCTGATATATTATTGATTCGTTAAAAGTTTGGAATGAGTTTGACAAAAGCAGTAGCTACTAAAGTGTTGTCCTTAGACAAACGTTGTTGATCATTGGGGACACCTATTAGATTAAAATGAACAAGAATAGCTGTCACGATAGTGTTATTGTTGCCTTTTTTGATCTATGTCCCTTTTGGCATCAGACTTGGTGCTTTCAATCACCAGTGCAAATTTTTGGTGGATAACTCCAAACCTTAATGTAAAATAAAAAATCGGTTTTTGTTGTGTTCTCAACACGATTTTCCACACTTTATTTATATAATTTTATTTCTTATCGTGAGACTCGCATGTGGATGTCTTTGTTTTAACTGTGAGGCTTTTTATATTTTTTCTCTTGGAAAAACGCATACAAACTGTAGAAGAAGAAGCCATAAGCAACAAAAATTAAACGGGTGTTAATAAAAGAAATGAAATGTTCTTTGCAGTTAACCAAATGTTGGACTTTGTGTGTGAGTTCTTTTTTTGTTTCTACAATCATTTTAAGGGTAAGGAAGGTAGCTCAGTTTTGTTCTGTGCAGTACTGAGCATCCCGTTCACATTTTGTAAACTTTTTTTTCTGTTTTTCACTATTTGTTTGTTGATTTTTTTAACTGGAGTAAAAAACAAGAAACAAAAAGTGATTTGCCACCTCATTACCGTAAACTGAAGTACGCATTGCGGACCTTTCATACCAAACGGCGGAAAAGCCATGGGAACTAGCATTGCATAACGACGGCAATATGGCGGCAGGAAGAGTGTTTCGTCTAACCCAACTCAACGTTCACTCTTCGCTTAGCAAATCCGTTCTTAACCGGGGATTTAACTGTTCAGAAAGACGTGTGTTTAGCTCAGGCGCCTACAGGTCAAACGGTTTTGACAGAGACCATCGATTGGCTGCTATTTTGGCTGGCAGTTGTGGCTTAGCTCTTGCTGCTACTGGTGTTTTTACCTACCGCGTGCTTTGTAATGATACAAAAGCTCGACCGATCAAAGTTTCGGAGAGCGAGTCAGACACAGGTTTTATGCCAGGAGTGCCGAAACTAACAGTCACCCTGTATCAATATCAAAACTGCCCCTTCTGCGGAAAAGTGCGAGCGTTTCTTGATTATTATGGAATTGATTACACTATCGTGGAGGTCAACCCGCTGTGGAAAAAAGAAATCAGCTTCTCCAAGTACAGGAAAGTACCGTTTATTTTGGCAAATGGTAAGCAGGTGAGTGTTTTAGTTTATATGACAGATGAGTCGAGAAAAGTTGCCCTGTAGTCTGTAGTTAAGCATCAGTCAAGCTGCGCCTAGCGCTCCCCCCAATGCCGAGTGCAAATATTGCAGTAAAATACAGACAAGGACCTCCCGCTCAAACAACACATTTTAAAAATTCAGACTAGGAGTGTACATATATGTCAACCCCTAGTTAACCTGTGATCAGGCGAGGGAAAAAAAGCCTTTTCCATGTGTGCATTTCTCAATTCCACAGACCCAACTATCTCTACACGTAGTCTGCCTGTAGGCCAGAATTCCCCTTTCCCTGTCGGCCAACTTTCACGCTATCCCCTCAAAAAGAGCACCTGATTGTAGATTACCTCCTAGATGGCCTCTTGATTACCTTCCCCTCTTCTGCAGTCTCTAAGCCAGATCCCAGAGAAGCCATTACACTTTATCCTCTCCACCCGTCTCCACCCACCTCTTTGGTCATGAGGTAGGATCTTCCAGTGAAAAAAGATCAGAAAGTAGAAAACTGTGAAAATGAATAAGGCTCCTTGTTTGAAGGCTGGAAGTTCAGCAAAATCAACTTGTACATGTTGCAAAACAACCAGTTATCCTGGCAAACACTATGTAACAGTACAACTTCTAGCCACACAATGGAGTGTTCTTATTCAATGTGACACAAAATGATGTGTCAGAGTATTCTGCAGTTTCGCTCAGGGCTGCATGATGATAATGAAATGACGTAATAAAGAACCCAAATCAGAACTGAGGTTTGTTTCAGACTCTGAACTTCCTGCTGGATTACTGTGACAAAAAGTTTCGGGAAATTCCAATATATTGGAAGGTTAATGGAACAGGAATTTCCAGTTTATTCCAGTGGATGTTTTTCAGGAGCAACTTGGCATCTAAAAGGTTTTCCTGTTTTCGCATTGGGTATGTTCCAAAGAGAAATCCATCTTCCACTTCTTGTAACTCACCCTTGACTTTAGGTGAAGTGTAAAATTTTATATACATCAACAGACCAGAGCTCTTGACCAGAGTCTGAAGAGAATAACATCATCAGAGTCGAATTTTTGTGGCTAAGTGCAGTTTTCTCTCTTGCTGGACATCACCAATGGAGGAGTTAAGAGAGGCCAATGGTTGCTTTGAAAAAATGAGACCTGTTTCAACCATACTTTCCAGTATAAATTAATATACACATACAGAATAAAGAAGGCCAATGGGCCTACAGGATGAACTGTATTCAGCCTCAGGGCTTGAATATAAGTGATTTTTTTACAGCCAGAATAGGGCAACTAGGTCTCGCGTCCGGTAAGAGCGCGCGCGTGCTTATCTTCCTTTGCAGCGCGTGCAAGTTTTCAAATTTGTTCATTATCATGTAATAATGGTGTCTGATGCTTGTAATGGCCATTCACCCTGATGAAGGCCCTTTAACACGGCCGAAATATAGGTGAGAGACGAAAAACATATTGTTTTACTCTTCACTTGTGGTACTGTATTATTTTATTGAGTTGTGAAGGGAGTGTCTTCTAACTAAAAGATGCTTGTGATAGGTCATACATAATAATCTGTATAGATCTAGCTAAGTTAGAGGTTATTGTGTCATCAACAGGTTAATGACTCCTCAGTGATCATCAGTGTTCTTCGTTCTTTTATGCTGGGTCAAGACTCTGTTGAACAGATGCTAGTCTATTACCCTGAGATGACATTGCAAGGAGATGATGGAAAAGAAAAGACTGAATATGCTAACAAATACTTTATCATGCACAAAGAAGCTGTGGACAAAAAATTAATGGAAAGAGAAAAGTAAGTGAAAGGCATAATTATGATTAGAAGGACTCTCAAAATTGTGAAGCTGTATGGATGCTTCATTCTCAAGCCTACCTTTCTAATCCATAATTATTCCAAATTTAATGTTTAGTGCCAGCAGGTTACTGACAATTCAGAAGAGGAGGAAGTTCTAAAAGGCCAACATATTGGCAGAAAAGTGTGAAACTGAACTGGAATTTTTCAGATTAGTTGCAGGGAAACAAGGAAAAACTGTCCAAGGGGGAAATGAATTATTATTATTATGATTAATCAAAAAAACTTGCAATTTTTATTAAAATTAACAAAATGCAATTCATTTCAGAGAAGAAAGAAAATGGAGGAAGTGGGTTGACAATACATTTGTTCACACACTCTCACCAAACATCTACCGCACAGCATCTGAGGCCCGCCAGGCATTTGAGTATTTTACCAAACAGAGCAACTTCAGCTTTTTTGA